TTTTATATTACTCACATGGACTTTTACTCGTCAGTTTGCATTTTCGAATGTCATTGGCGAATTATATACATAAATGTGAAATAGGTATTTAATATTTGACTTACGTGTATGATATAACCCTTAGGTTAAACATTTTTTGCATCAATTAGACATTAACATACTAATCCACTTGTAAGCAGAAAAACTACGCGAATTTTCATTTTTAAACTTTTACTTTAACACGAACACAGTTTACATCAATTTAAACAAACGAGTTTATACCATATTATATTTTTTCTACCGAATAGTTTGAAACTACAGACTTTATTCTTACAGTCAATGCCAGTCAATGGAGTCAATGCAAAGAACTATGCCTGTAAGTTGGTAAATAGCAGGAAAGAATGCAGTGTCATCTTGTGTCAAAATGTAAAATAATTCAATCAATATAATATATCATTTATCAATTTAATATAACGAAAGATTAAAATTATAGCTGTAGAAGGTATGAATTTATTAATAATATGAAGGGATATTTATTATTACTTTTAAAAACTTAAAATAATTAAGTACTCAAACATGTATAGATCGTTATGTGTTCCTGGAGTCTGTGGATCGTTTTTCTTTCTTATTATTTCTAAAAAAATCGTACCATATCCCATATTATTCAATAAAAATAAAAATATTAAGTAATACATTAAAAAAGAAAATATGTAATTTTCGTTTCCGCAGTATAGTAATATTGTTGGAATAAAATCGAGAGTAACAAAAATAATATATATTTCTCATAAAAGTTTAAACCTAGATAATATGTAAGTAGACAGATTGTATAGTGCAGTTATTAGCTTTCCATGAGATAATATTATACCCACCTCATGAGAAATCCACACAGATAAAAGTTGGCGCACATCAGCAGTTGTCTCGGCCTGTAATTGTCTTCGCACACTGCGTTGAAACCTGACTCCACAATTGCAACATACACTTCTATTTTCATTGTATGCTGATCTAGCAGATTCCATTTTCTTAAAATCGCATATAAATACAAAAAACAGTAGCATGACGAACGTCAGTGCCGTTAAGATTAAAGATGTAATACCCCGCCCCGCCGTACCCGTCCGCCGGCCGCTGGGAATTACCGGAAGTCAATGATAAAATAACATTTTGGTTCACAGTCATTTAGAACTATGTTATAATGTGATATTAGCTAAAATTTTTAGAAATTAAACATAAAGTTCTTAGTGGTATCTTTTTTAGTCAGCTTTGAGAAAAAACAAACTGCAAAATGACTAATTAGGTACACGCATTTTACCCATATTACACTAATCAGAACACGAATATCAAAACAACTAATTTTTTTTTTCATATTTCTTGATTCCGTTTACATTTTCGAAAAATCTGTAGGCCATTTACTATTATAATTTGGTGTCTTTTTTTTGATGTAATACCATTAAGTGACGTTAATATTTTTAGTAGACCCAAAAATGATTGTCCCCTTTATAATTGTAATTTTTTCTTTTGTTGCAGATTTTTAGCCACAGGGAATTCATTTCGATCATTGGCATTCAATTATAGAATGGGATTCACCACCGTGCGAGAAATTGTAAAAGATGTCTGCGAAGCAATTTGGAACAAATTGGGCCCAATATACATGCCAGAACCCACCACCGCGATGTGGAAAAAATCTGAAGAAGGGTTCAGAAATTACTTTAATTTTCCTAATTGTTGTGGTGAATTGGACGGCAAACATGTGAATATCACTTGTCCAATAAATGGTGGTTCATATTTTTGAAATTATAAAGGAGAAAATTCAATAGTACTCCTGGCATTAGTGGATCCTAAATACAAGTTCTTGGTTGTAGATTTAGGCGCATATGGAAAAAAGAGTGACGGTGGAATATTCAATAAATCTGCACTTGGAGAGTCTTTAGAACAAGGCAAATTAAGAATGCCTGCTAATAAATCTTTATCTCCCGATTTGGAACCATTACCTTGAAGTCGTATTTAATGCGGCCGTATAGTAAGAATGATGTTCGCAATAATGAACCCAATAAAATATACAACTGCCGGCTAAGCCGTGCTAGACGTATCGTTGAAAATTCTTTCGCCATTTTAAGAGCAAGATGGCGCGTTTTCGCCAAACCTATGGAAGTACAACCTGATATGGTGGACAAAATTATTTTAGCAATATGTTGCGTACACAATTATTTAGGTATCGATACTTTGCCATCTGACTGTCAAACACAAGATGATAATGAGACGCCATTGGGACCTACAGCTTTGGAGGACTTGGACACCTTACGCAGAAATTCTACACAACATGTTTTTTCTGTCCGAAATAAATTTAAGGAATATTTTAATTCCAACGAAGGTGCAGTTCCGTGGCAAGTAGATATTGTAAGGAGAGGAAGACAAGATACTTTGTAAATCTGTGTTAAAGTGTATTTTATAATAAATTGAATTGAATAGCAGCTTTGTATTAATTTCAACTCCTCGACGCGTTGCTGAGAAAAAGGGTCTTGAAAGACAGACGGACGGACAGACAGACGGACAAACAAAGTGATCTTATAAGGGTTCCTGTTTTCCTTTAGAGGTACGGAACCCTAAAAACAAGCAGGTACTTACTAATAAATGTATTAATGAGGTACCTATTTTTATGATAAATAGAAACTGATAGAAAGTAGGTAAGTAAATGGGACAAATTACATTTTATTGAAAACTTACCTGTAGTATGCAATTGTTCTGCAATTTCTTCCCAAGCATTATTTCGAATACTATGATCACGATAATGAATAGAACTCATATCATATGACATTGAATACCGTTTCACTAATTTTATTAATTCTTTATCCGACATTTTAAACAAATTTTTAAACCAAAAGTAACAAAAAATTTCATTTCTTTTATCATAACCTTAAAAATGTTCTCGAAAGAATGACGCGTGGCGTCGGGTATTAACTAGAAACACACTGCGCTGATTCGTCGGGTGGCATGTCCCCCCCCTCTCCCGGCAACACGCTGATCCAAATTGATTGGATGTTGCGGTGTGTGGTCACATAGCGTGTTGTCTATGCACTTCTGACTATATTAAATATATGGAATTGATAAGTACTGTGTAGTGTTATGCTATTTACATATCATTTTACACTATTTTAAATTTATTTTTCCATTCTGTTTTTGATTTTCTGCATTAGCCTCAAAACTGGATATTTTGCATCACCTTTATTTTCATAGGATCCTGTAACGTTTTTAAACCATAAGAACACAATAACAAATCATTTTCACATCGTATTTTCACGTTATCAGCACTTTTTAAATCGGTGTCAATGGAGTTTACCTTTTTCGGTATTTTATTTAGTTCTCCGTAACTCTGTAATTTCGGGCTTCGTGCGCACTGTTGCGCTACCTTTTTTCCTACATCAATAATATCTCATTTTTCACTTAAATCTTGCCGTTTCTCTATTACGAGCCTAAAACCAAAATTTGACATGTTTTGACATCGTTGTTTATCTGGTTGTCATGGCAATTTTTATTCAAATATCGTTACCGGCCTGATGTTTTTACTTCAAATATACTCTTTTCTTCTTGGCCATTTACAAAAATTTGCTTTTAATTTAAATAATTTCAAATAATTTCTCGTTCTTATCCCAGATCCGTCAAAAAGTATAAAAGCCGAAGAATCGGCCAATAGAGGTTCTCACTTCAGCTTTGATACGAGAAGCACCTCTTAAAGGCTTTATCCGCACTGCCTCGGGATCTTGCAAGCCTTCTCCTGAAGTCGTCGCCTAGCCACGCCTACGCCTCCACCTATTAGTGCCCGCGCTATCTTCGGCCGCTGAGCGTGCTTGTCTCAAGCGCTGCGTGTTCCTACTCCAGACGCTGCGTGTCTCTGGCGCTCCGGGCGCTGTGTATGTCTACTCCGGGCACTGTGTGTGTCTACTCCAGGCGCTGTGTGTGTCTACTCCGGGTGTTGTGTGTGCCCATTCTGGTCGCTGTGTGTGCCTACTTCAAGCGCTGCGTGTACCTAGATTAGGCGCTGTGCATCTACCACAGGCATAGCCTGTACATACATTGTTTCCGTACTCATTTATCTTTATTAACTTTTATTTTTTTTTAAAAATTGTAATTCACATCATCACTACAGCCCATCATCACCCTCATACCTTTTTTTTTATAAAAAAAAGCTGTAAATATCTTTACAATTTTTTAAATAAATTATTTTCTTTTTTGGTTGTTTCGTTGTTAGGTTAGGTTCTATAGTTTTTAATTGTGGCTTTACATTTTATAAAAGAAACTGTAAATATCTTTACAAATTTTAAATAAATTATTTTGTTTTTGGTTGTTTCGTTGTTAGGTTAGGTTCTTTAGTTTTTAACTGTCGCTTCACGACAACTGACATGCGTCGGGTGGCATGGCGTAGCGTCACGTTTTGGTAGTATGTTTCCGCACTAAGGTGAACGCACATATGTCAGCAACGTAGGCGCCGCACGCACCGAACGCGCCGCATTTCCTGATAGCCTCGCACATTCGCGCAGTACGCGTCGTACGCGCCGTACGTGCCGTCAGCAAATCTTTGGTATTGCAAACAATTTTTTCTGTTTTTTACCTTTGGTGTGAAACGGTACAGTGAGTAGTATTGTGACATTGAGCTATGGAAGAAATTGTTGTAATAGCCTGCTTATTTGCAGAGGAAGAAGAAAATGAAATTCGAAGAAATACAAGATTCTGGATTCACAACATTAATTTTAAAAGGCACTTGTATGGAGAATATCATACGTTATTTCCACTTAGTAGATGATGATCAACGATTTTTCAGATATTTGCATTCGACATACAAGAAATTTCAAGAATAACTACATATTCTAAAACCACATCTTCCTATACAAAATTAAAGATTTAGAAGGGTTATCGGACCAGAGGAAAGACTTGTTGTATGTTTAAGGTATTATTTATTGATAAGTTTTATCGAGTAGTACTCAGGTATAATTTAGAAAAGAACACGAATCAGCAAGTAGTGATTTTAAAACTTATTTAAATACTACGTATTTCTTTAGTTCTTCATCCACCTCACAGCTATCATTATCATAAGATGCATTGAGAACCTGGTCGTTTAATATCGTTATCTGATGTGTAGGAAGTATTAGTCTCATTACTTGACGCGGAATCGTCAGAGTAATATTTGAATGCAGAATCTCTTCGTTCATAATACGAGACTTTTCGTTCGTAATACGAGACTCTTCATTTGTCATAGTCGAAGTTGTTGGTGTAATACTTGAATGTACAGTCTCTGTATATGTATGATGAGACACTCCAGATGTGACAGTCGATGTGGTCGGTGCAATACGTGGTCGTTCAGTTTTAGCATTTGTGAAATGAGACACTGCAGGTTTCATATGAAGTTTGTTGTTGAGAGCGAATTTCTTTATTGGTGAAATGAGGCTGTCCAGATATAGTGGATTCAACGATTTTAGTATTTTGTACTGGATTTAGCGGCAAGGTAAAGAGGTCCATTACAGGGGAGTGAACCGTTTTGAAAGAGTTTACCTTTGATGTACAGTTGTTTCTTTTCATCAAGTCGTTGTACAGTTCTAGCCATACTCATAAAAAAATCTATTAAAGGATCTTGGTTAACATTAATATTACTTTGCGCAGAAGTATGTGACTGGTGTTTTTGTTCAGCCAAATAGTCTTTTAGTACTGTTGCTACACTAGTGGTAGGATTGCATGTGGATCTGTGCGATGACGTACGACTACTGGGGCGAATCGGAGTGTATCTCGGTAACGGCGATTCTGAATGTCGGGAATCATCTCCAGATTCTGAATGTGGAGAAACAAATGAAGAGGGCGTTTCTCGTGCTGGTACTGATATATTTGAAACTCTATGTTCTTCATCGTTTATATAGGGAAAGAGGAAGCTTAGCTCTTTGTTATATTTAGGCGGTTTTATTTTGTTAGCGGCTTGACCACTTTTGGTCTTTCCTAAACTCAACACCTTTCTATAGTTTTCTCGTATTCTAGTCCATCTTTCTCTACATACTGACCCTGTGAACAAAACATTTTTTTAATAAATCGAGCAAATTGAAAATAAAATATACCTACTATAAAATATTTCTTTTCAGGTTTTTAGCAACCGAAAATTCTTTTACATCACTGTCGGATAATTTCCGTATGGGCGAGAGCACAATTCGTGCAATAATTTATTCAACATGTAAAGTTATATATCAAACACTACAACCGATTGTAATGTCTACGCCAGATGAAAATTTGTGGACGTCGTCAGAAATAAATTTCCGCAATAAGTGAAATTTTCCAAATGCTGTTGCAGCTCTTGACGGTAAACATATATTACTTCAAGCTCCGGCGCACAGTGGCTCTATGTATTATTGCTATAAAAAACACTTTAGTACAGTGTTACTGGCACTGGTAGACGCAAATTACAAATTTATTGCCGTAGACGTTGGCGCTTGTGGTAAGAATTCAGATGCCAACATATTCAAAAATTCTAATTTGGGAAAGCGTCTAAGCGAGGAAAGTTTAAACATGTCTTCACCAAAAGCACTTCCAGGAGGAAACACAGTCCTGCCACATGTAATCATTGCAGACGAAGCATTTGGCTTAAGTACGTATTTAATGAGACCTTATTCACGTGACGACGCCAGAGGAGATGAAGGAAAAAAAATATTTAACTACCGCCTGAGCCGAGCACGAAATACAGTTGAAGATACATTTGGTATGTTAGTGAATAAATTCAGATTATTTGAACGGAGATTACTTATAAGTCACGATCATACTGTCACAGTTGTAACGGCAATATGTTGCCTACATAAATTTTTACGCGATGATACATGTTATTGGTCAGAAAGAGATCAAATGGTGACGTTGAGCGACATGAATGCCTTGGAAAATTTCAGAGGTATTGGAGGACATTCAACTTCTGACGCGTTGGCAGTAAGAAATGCCTTTAAAGAATATTTTTATTCCGAAAGCGGATCAGTTCCGTGGCAAAGAAGTAGAGTACGTGCTGGAAGACGGCAACAGTGATTTTATAAACAAAATAACTTGCCAAGTACGACTCGGGCGTATCTCATGTGTATCTCATAGAGGATTCCGTACTAAGTATCATGAGCCCGACACGTATACTTGGCCATTTTTATTATTTACTGTTGCAATTGTAAACCAAAAATACCTTTACTACTTCCAGGGTTCCCTACGTAACTTCGGATGTCATTTGATCTTTTCCCCTGCTTTTTTTTTTAATACACAAAACCTTCTTTTATTTTCTTTTTTTTTTTTTTTTTTAAAAATTATATTTAAACCCCTATAATTTCAATAATTTGGTGCGGTTTTTGTTGTTTTTTTGGGGTTTTTTTTAATTGTAATAAAAATTTGGGGGTGCAATTGGGGGGGGGTGGGGGGGGGGGACCAATCGTTTACAGGTATATTACTTCTGGCTCTGAAGTTATAGTATGGATTTCAATGGCTATCGTAGCTTTAGATCTCCTACCTGCAGGAGTATTACAAACTCTTATTACCTGGCAGATTCCGGCCAGCCCTGCAACCCATCTCTTTTTGCTTATATACATACTAGCTAGAAAGAGATGGCTGGGCGTAATAAGAGTTTGTAATACGCCTTCTGTACTTCTGTACAGAAAGGATATGTCATTCTATTAAAAATAACCCCAAAAATTGTAAAACTACCGATTGCACAAAAAATAATTCTAAGCAAATTGTCAGAGGTAAAATTGCTGTGAACGGACTGAGTACAGATTTCGGCTCGTAAATTGATAAGTGACCGCAGAAAACAAAAATAAGGTATCGCGGGGAATCACACAAGGAGCGGGGCACAACATGGTGCGCAGCTATAACGGTCACTTAACAACTTACGTGTCGCGACCTGTACGTAGGTCTTAAAATTGTTTTGAAATAAAAATGATTATTACTCACCAGTATCATTCATTTGTTCCCCAATTTCTTCCCATATGTTGTCCCGTCTTTGCTGGTTCATATAGTGGGGATGTCGCAAATTATACAACTCCTCATATTGTTGTACAAACGATATTAAAGCCACTTCGTCCATTGGTTCGCTCGTGTACCGTTCGGTACGTGCAAGTCGCTCAGCTCTACGGGCCCGAATAGCAGGCATGCACAGTGTTGTCAGATCTTAAAATCAGTTTTCCGAAATTTTTATTGCCAAATTTCGTGTGAAATCCGTATAGCAAGTTTCTAATAAAATCCATATGAATTCCGTACAAAAATATTAAAACTCATCTTATATTTGATTGACATAATTTCGATTTAGAGCACTTTTATATGAACAATTTTATGAGAACATGTTACGGAAAGAAAAAATCTTGATAAAATATTTTTGTCTTGCTTGCACTAATAGTAAATTTATATCACTATTTACTGTCTTTTTCTCTCATTGTTACATCTAGCAACTGCTACATCTAGCAGCACGGAACCGCACTTTCCTATGCTTCTCTATCCTTTTCTGTCACCCAGAATCGTCATTCACTCTAGCGAGAAATAAAACGAGAGTGCGACCGCACGTCGGCGGAATTAACGGGGTGGTCACCTTCCCGCTACGTTTCTAGACGTACCTCAACCCTTTAACGACCAACCAAAATATCTCAAGGGTATTTGAAAAAAGTACAAATCGCTAGTTTATGAAAGATCAAATAATTTTTAACGTTCCGTTTTATTTAAATTCATTTTCTAAGAGTATTAAGAAACTACTCTGCATTTGCCTGTAAATTCCGTATAAAAATCAGTGTGCATGTATTGTCCGGTTTGAACATTAAAACTCCGTATAGATACGGACAAATCCGTATATATGGCAACACTGGGCACGCATGCGGCTACACCGAGTACCAGCACGCGCCGTACGCGCCGCATATATGACGTCATCAGAATGCTTTCTTCAAAATTCGTATGCCTACAGCATTTTACGAAACACGGCGCGTACGATGCGGGTCAAATGTGCGTGGTTTCTCATGATTGCATACAACGAATTCTAAAATGCAGTGCGTTCGGTGCGTACAGCGCGTACGTTGCTGACATATGTGCGTTCACCTCTAAGTGTCACGTCATCAACAAACTAAGTGTCATCCGATCTAAGAATATCAATATTTGCAATGTCTGACATCAGAAGCCAAGACTATTGGTAGGTTATTAATAAATTCAAAATTAACATTTTCAATAAAATTTTCTTCGTTTAAAAGAAACGGAGATGGTGATTCAGGGAGAAATCTGTTGTAATTATCATCATTATTGCACACTAACTCAAGAATTTTTTACTACGCTAAAGTTGATTTGATGACATCTAAAATAAAATAAAAAACCATCAATACCTACATTATCTATCTACCTAGATATTATTATATATTAATATAATTTGTTTTTTAATTAAATAATGATATTTAGAAATAATTACAATAAACGTATTTTTATTTTTATACTTAAATAGGCAATACAAAATTACTGCTGTCCCCCAAAAAATACTAAAGATTTGAGGGAAAACTGCTTACTCTGACATTAAACTTTTTAGAGGTTATCAAGTTAATAGCCACAAAATACTTATTTATTGAATACTGGTCGTAAAACGATAAGTAAATAGTAATAATAAATGCTTACCTCTGCAATATTTCAACAACGAAATCTTGAAACGATATAATTATTCCATCGATAACTTATTTTACGGAACTTTGTAACGCCGAAGACTCAATAGACGCGCAAATTGAATGAAATGAATTTGGCTGTTTTACGCATCGCACTTTTTTTCCTATTTAATATTTAAAGTGAGTTTAGCTGGTTTCGCAAGTCCATGTGTCCTATCTTTCTCTTTCAGATGGAATAAAAATGTAATTTTGGAACAAAAGTGGAGTTAGCAGCGGCTGCAGTCTCGACATAGATAACGATCACTTTACAACCAATATTTATTGTTGTCATAACAATCCGAATATAACGATTTTTGGTAGTCTGTACCGTCAAAGCTATCGGTACCGATCGTAAACTTTACAATTATTTGTTATGTTTGCAATTATTTTAGCAAGCATTTTTGACAGCCCGCTAAGTGTTCGTTACGATCATAAGTTGTTTCACAGTTTTATAAATAATCTTTATCTATTATAATATAAAGGGGGACGCCCATTTTCGGCCATGGAACGCCCAACAATGTGAATTTGTTAAAAAATTATATCTTTATTTATGGTTATTAATCGCGGTATTCATTTATCCTCAAACAATGGGAATATTTTTGCACAAATTAAAAGTACCGGAAACATAATAATAAAAATTAGGTAAATCATTATGTCATTAGTTTGTGAATAAAAAAAAATGTTGCCAATCACAAAACACATTTAAAAAATCGATTCTCTTTTTCGATTGATTATTTACGGTGTCATCATTACAGTGCTAATATAATTTTTAAATAATTATGATGTTACGATAATTAAACAAGCGAATTACTAGCTGATTTCTAATGAATTCTTTAGAGAGTAACAAATGCTACGGCACAATTTAACTGTTAATCTTAACCGATCTTCTTTGAAAACAGATAAGAACTGTTATTCTTATCTGTTTTTAAAGAAGATCGGTTAGGTTATTCTTATCTGTTTATAACAACACATTTAAAATAGAATCATGTTATGATAACGAAACAAGTTAGTTTTCAGCTGATTTACCATGAATCCTTTAACCTTTTGAGCGCCAAAGTCGCCTATACTTGACCAACACCTGCGGGCCCTGAGCGCCAACGACGTCTATAGTTGACAAAAAACCCGGCTCCGAAAAATATGAAATATAGATATTGGAAAATTATTACAGGTATTTTAATTCTACACTCCTCAAAATAGGAATAACCCAGCAACATGTGAGTATAAAAAACAAGTCTTCTAGAGCCACAAGTACTAAGAAACATTGAACTAATAAAAATGGATTTTTATCTAAGCAAATACTATGTCCAGCACGCCAAAGTCATCTATGGTTGACCGCTAGTATCAAACGCGGGAGGCATAGATTTCTTGAAAACTATCCAAAATTCAGCTCAATGGTGTTTTTTTTCTATTATTATTGATATTTGAATAACATTAAAGGTTATAAACATAAAACTATAATTAGCTACATGAATAAAAAAATGTTATCGGGTTATCTTCGCATAATAAATCTAATATCTCAACTCTAGCGCATCTTTAGCGCGTCATCGAAAATCAGTTCACTGGGCACCGTGATCAAGGATAGACCACACCCTGATGACGTCATAAGTGATTACCGAGAAAAGTAGAGCAATGCAACATGAACGATTCCTCAGAACTCATTCGGATTTTGGAAAGCGTCGATGATGATGAATTTTGATTTTTGATTGATGAATTGTGATGAAATGTTTATTTATTCCATGACCAAGATTTTAGTATTATAAGGCTGATTTACCTAGTGCGAATAATTATATACAATTGTTGATTAATGAATAATTATGCACCTTTTTTAATAATAATACAAAATTACAATTAATGTTTTTTTTACTTAGGGTGTGAAGAGCAATTTTTCATTTTGTGTTGTGCCATTTTCTTTCTCAGTCTCAAAATCATCTAGCAGCATCAGCATCATATCAAATCCCCATTGTCATAAGAGTGTAAGACTTTTCTTCTGTGCGTCACTTGGCCTACGCCTTCCCCGACACATAAAATATTATGAATCGATGTCTGTATATTTCGGTTAGATCGATTTTGAAATCGATACACAACATTCTAAGAATGTTTCAAAAGGGAAGGTCAGCTACGCCGTTGTCGTCCAGTCGCGACAGTGTCGTCATTAGGATGGAGAGTAGTGCTAATGTTTACTACTATTTTATTGTTATTGTTTGTTTTTTATTTATGTTTATATGTACAAAGTACATATATAAAAAGAGTGGAAGACGGCACAAGATTAAATAAAATATACAGTTTATTAAGAGTCATTTATAGCATAAAAAACCAACAAAAACAAGTTATTTCACGTTATCGATATATCAACTCTTGGCAACACTATTTTGTTTTGGCGCTTTGGCGTACAGGACACGGTAATGCGTTTTTGGCGTGGCGCTCAAAAGGTTAAAGCTTAACAAAACGCAACTGCACAATTTTTATCAATTTCAAGACAAAAACAACCGTTGTTATCGGCTTGGTTGAAAACGTTAACAACCGCCTTCACATCTGTAGTTATGATAATTAAATAAGCGATTTAATAGCTGATTTACAATGAATTCTATGCAGTATAACATAACGCTACTGCACAATATAACTGTTATTCTTATCTTTTCTTAACAATACATTTAAAATGAAATCATGTTACGATAATTAAACAAGTGAATTTCTAGTTGATATACCATGAATTTTTAGAGCTTCATAAAACACTACTGCACAATTAACTGTTCTTAAAAATACACTTAAAATAGAATTTAAATAAAAAAGGAAAATACATTTTAAAAAGCGAGCAGAAGTTAAAACACCTCCAAGATTATTCTCTTTTTATGAAATTATTAATCGAATAATAATCGAATCGCTATGGATATTATGATGTTATGATAATTAAACAAGCGAATTACTAACTGATTTACTATGAATTCTTTAGAGTACAATAAAATGCTACTGCACAATTTAACTGTTATTGTTATCTGTTTTAACAATACATTTAAAATGGAATCATGTTATGATAATTAAACAAGTGAATTTTTAGCTGATTTACCGTGAACTGTTTAGAGCATAACAACACGCTACTCCACATTTTAACTGTTCTTAAAAATACGTTTAAAACATAATTTAAAAAAAATAAAAGAAAATATATTTTAAAAAGCGTGTAGAACTGAAAGCGAAACTCAAATATTATTATTTTTTCATTAAATTACTAATCGAATACAAATCGATATCGTTTCGTTGTATTTATGTTAGTTATGTGGCAACATCAAATCTGACAGCTATAGGAAATATGTCATGCGAAATGAAATCACAATTCAATAAGTAAAAAGGTACTAGTGAATTCACAACTAAATAGTTGCCATTGTGTTATTTTGTTTGTTATTTTTCAAATAAATTCTCAAGAACTCATATGGAGTGAGATTGTCGATCACATTATAGTGTGACAACAGTTAAAAGTAAGTGTTCAACAGTTTTTAATTTATTAATTCTAGTGCTGATATTTGATAGTGATGAATGTATGAAATGATGAAGTTGTTTTATTTTTTAACATATGCACAAGCTATACCTGACAAACAAAATAGCTTATTTGTAACACGGCGATAAGATTAGCTAGCTAACACCAGATAGTTACGAAATGGACAATTTTTATCAAATACCAAGAAATAAGACAGTCGATTTTTAATTGTTTTTGGACTACTGGTAGGCAGTCAGTCCTTAATTATTAAATAATATAGGGCATTAAGTTTTAAGTAACATTTACCTATATTTGAGTTTAAAGTAAACAAATCTATTTTATTTTGTTCACTTTGTCTTATTTTTTTTATTTAATATTATTTCAGTTGCCATCGTCATCGCGTGAGTGTCATGATCGCGAAGGATTGATAAAGCAGCAACACGTTAAACTTTAGAACGGGAACCATCTGAATCATCTAGTCCATCCTTGTAGTAATCTAAAGTGAGTAATGTATTGAACCTAGAACAACAAAGCTTAGATCATACATCATACAATATACTACTGCCTAATTTTGTAAGAGCACCACTCACACAAAATCAATGTTTTTTCCTGGTTGTAACAATTCCAATCAACTCACTGTTCCATCAGCATTGCGGGTATGTATTTTTGTGAATACAATTACTATGTACCTCCAGAATGTAGAATCAGTAACTACCATTTAAATAGTAACTCTTGGTATTTACTTTTAGAATTAATATATAACCATATTAAAACATTTAGTGTAGCACAAATTATAGATTTTTCTACATTATTGTAAGATAATATTTACCATCATATAGACTTTGAAAATATTTACAATATGCCCGAATATACTGTACATTATTAGCTACGCTTATCAAAGGCACAATGCCAATAAATTCTGTCTGAAGTGCCCAAAATGTCAAGTAAACATAGTGGATGCTTTGCACTTGCTGTATATTTGATGAAAGTAAGAACAGGAGATAGTGATGAATGCATATAGGCATTATTGCAAGTACCAAGAAACAAATTAGAGCGGCTCATGAATATGGCCCAAGAAATATTAAATCAGGATGTTGTTCCTATGAATTTATCCATCGTTACCACTCTCTGTGCCAAATTCTATTCAGTAATTATGATATTATATCTGAGGCAAATAATTTCTTAGCTTTCCTAGATGTTTTTGTTATCCAAAATCCTAACAACATCATAGGTCACACTGTGTATAGAAAAAAGACCCATACAAACTGATATTTAAGCGGTGAATCTCACCATAATCCTTCACAGTTAGTTACCATGAGCAAATCTTTGTTACAGAGAGCATATGGGATCTGTGAGAACAAGCACCTGGCCGCGGAGCTTCAGCACGTCAAGCAGGTTCTGCACAAAATCAAGCTTCGGGTCCCACGTCTTCGTCACAGTGACCGAGTGAAGCCGACCGCAGTTGAGCGTGTACCTGCTGTACTACCGTATGTCAAGGGTGTCACCCCAACCAGATAGACATACATCAGATTTGATAGACCACAAATCCTCGTTAAAGAACATTAATTCCTACCAAGGATGATATGTGAGGCTACTGAAATTAAAAAAACATCCTAATTTCAGTAGAGAAGGCGGTTGGGTACTACCACCTGCTTGGGACACTATAATTAATAAAATTAAAACAAACCCCAAGCATACCACTGCAAGACTTAAAGATAGAGTAAGTTCAATCTGCGTAGATTGGACTATAAAAATAATAATAAAAAGCTGAAGGTACTCCATGTCCCAATACTGACATTGGGATGGCAGTCACCTCAGTACCCCGTGACCATGGGTGCTATAAAGCACCTGAAACGTCAGGAATTAATAATAATAGTATAATAATAATATAGCCATTTATTTCCGAACTTTGGGGTTACATAATATTTGTGTTTGAGTTCCTATTGTAATACTAGTTAAGGTAAGTCCCTCTGTTCGGTGTGCCTTTTGGCATAGGCCTCCAAAAGAAAAATCACGCGTCGGGAATTAAAAGTTAAAGAAATTAAAAGCAATAAAATTGGTAAAATAAGTCGTTAAAAAACTGTATTTGTGAAAATAAAAAGCTTTATATCATAAAAATTCCGACTTTTTTTAAACCAATTCCTTAACCATTTCATTATTTTAATTGCATATTATCATTTCCATATGCTTTTATATGTGGGCACCCATGGCCGAAGTGTCTATGAACAGTGGGCATCCCCCTTTATTTATTTATTATTTATTTATTTGATTATTTTGCATAATGTGTGTGTTTTACAGTTGCTATAAAGAAAAAATATAGTACAACACATTAACCATTTCGGGTGTACAAAATGATATAAATTTAAAAACATTAAGTATTATTAACTACAATATAGATTAAAATTACAAAAAAAAAACCATTGATAATAATTAACAAACAAAAAAAAACATAAAAATAAACTAGAAAGCGACATAATAAAACAAATACATTTACTATTAATTGCACTATCACATTATTAATATTTATAGTTTCATGTCACATTATATATTATTATTAAGAATAGTCCAAAATTTAAAGATATTGTTTTTCCAAGAACTCACTAACCGAATAAAAAGATTTATTAAATAGCCACTTTTTTCAACTCGTTCCCGAAACTCTTCCTTGGTTGTAGTTTTATGTTATCGGGTATAGCGTTAAATACTTTTATACACATTGCATAGCAATTCTTATGATAATTAACCGTTTTTGGTATTTTATCAATGACTAATTTATCTAGATGCCTCAAAGGTTTGGATTTGATAATATCTCCAGCAGTTATAAACAGCTCGGGGTTATTTTTAACAAATTTTGCTGTTTCAAGAATGTATATGCACGGAAGTATTAGCACTTTCAAATCTCTAAATATTGATTTACACGACTCATGTATCAATATATTACATATTGCACGTAGAAATTTTTTTTGCACAATAAAAACTTTATTGATGTCTACAGAATTTCCCCATATTATTATACCGTAGCTAAGTATACAATAAACGTATCCGTAATACGCCATGAGAGCTGTTGATTGCGATGCCGTTTTTGTAAGGTTCCGTAATACGTAAACAAAGCGGTTAAGTTTATTACATACTTTTTCTATGTGAGTTTACCAGTTACAGAATGTATCTATATGTATACCGAGAAAGGAAATTTCTTTTACTTGTTCTATATTTTCGCCATTGTACACAATATTTAGCTTTGTTTCATTATTTTTTTTATTATAAAATTGTATTAACTTGGTTTTGCTTATATTTATGAGTAAATAGTTATGTTCTAGCCATTCAATAATTAATTTCAAAAAATCATTAATGTCATTTACAAATTTACTAATGTCAGATTTTTTTGTTACATGTCAATAGCATGGCAATATCATCTGCAAAAAAAGTCAATAAATTATTTGTTACATAAGAGATGTCATTAATATACAATAAAAATAAAAGTGGACCTAGTACACTGCCTTGTGGCACGCCATTCCATTAATTTGGTACGGTGATTTATATTTCTCGAGTTCCTTGTTGTAATTTAACCTTGAAATTTCTACACTTTGCTTTCAGTCTTTAAGATATGATTCTATCCAATTTAATGCCAGTCCGCGAATGCCTAACTTGTCGAGTTTGTTTAATAGAAGTTTGTGTGAAACGAAATCAAAGGCTTTACTCATATCTACGAATATAACTGAAGTGTGATTTTTATCATCTAAATTTTTAACAACATTTTTTACTAGATGAAAACATGCATGGGCAGTTGATTTATTGCTTTGGAATCCAAATTGTTCATCTATTATTATATTAAATTTTGAGGTGAATTCTATTATGCGCTTGTACATTGCTTTTTAAATATTTTCGAAAAAATAGGCACTAAGGTTATGGGGCGATAATTACCCATATGACGTTTATCACCTCTTTTATAGAGTGGTTTTACTATAGATTTCTTTAATCTATCTGGAAATTTGCCATTTGCAAAAGAAAGATTAATAAGGTAAGTTAAAATGACATCATCGGGATTTCATACATTTTGGTCCAAATATGAAAGTGTCGGCCAATAAAAAAATATGCTGTATTCCGTTAGAACTTGTCCCCCTGAGTATTTATTATTATCACACCAAAGCTGTAGGGTCATTGTCCTTGGTTTTATTGGAGTTCAAAAATTTCAACATCTTCATACATTTTCAGTGAATTTAATAAACAATAACAAATGATTTGTTCTACCATATTTTTATTTTGAACATCGTTTAGTAAAATATATTGGTTCTTGACCTATTTTTATATATTCAGTTCGGCGCAGGTCGCCATCGTATTCACACGTTTCTACGCGAATCCTCATGCAAAACCAGTAATCAAGACCCCTGTCTTACGGCGCTTAACACAGACCTCCGTGTCTACGGTCGCTAGACGCTTCCATACCGGAAAACCAACCGTCAAGACCCCTGGCGTATGGCGCTCAACCCGGGCGCTCAGTGTCTCGTTCGTCTGGTTATTTCTTATCTGGGTATGTCTGGTGCATCGTTGTGAACGCGGCGGTGTCATTTTGCTCCGCGAATTTAATTTTTTTTTCTCTTCTTTATGTTAAGAACGTTTAAAATACTGAAACAAGTGATAATTAAGTGAACTTTAAATTTAACGTTGTGTAGAGTATTGTGTTTTAATCTTAAAATACCTATAAACTTTAAAATTGAAAGTAATTGTTAACGAATAATTAACCTACTGCCGCGCCGTTATAAACTGTGACCTATAATTTTGTTAATGTACCCGTTAAAAAAAAAAAAAAAACGACTTTGTTGCTGTGGATTTTTGGTTCGGGCATTTACTGCTGTGCCAAAATATAATTTATTTATCACGACAAGTATAACTAAAATTATATTATAAAATGGATCAAGATTTAATTGAATGGGGTTGTTGTTCTTTAGGGTTTGAAGATAATATTTATAAGCTTTGCAACACTTGTAACAAGGCATATCATCTTAAATGTCTAAACAATGATGTCGACAATTTGAAAGCGATAAAGCATGCTACTGACTGGATCGGTCCATGTTGCATTAGACCTCTCCACGCGACTGGCAATAAGGATAACACACCAGTAAAATGTGACCCTAATATTACAGTACGAGCCTCCAAAAGACAGGCATTGTCATCCCCCCCGGAAATTGAAATTGAAGGCCCTGTAACACGTACAGAGGTGCGTAACATTATGGAGGAAATTATTCAAAAGCATATATCAGACCTTATGGTTCAGATGACCAAAAACGTGCGTTCCATTCTAGATACTGAACTTAAAACATTTCGGGAAGAAATTTGTAACATGAAGCAGAAAATGGATGATATGAATAGAAAATGTGAAGATATTCAAAATAAAAATACTAAGTCTCTGGAAGATACTAAGAGTCTGATTGAAACAAATGCCAAATTGCAGAGTACTATAAAATATCTTGAGACACGCATGAACAACCTTGAGCAGAACGCCCGCAGCAGCAACGTCGAAATTCAATGCTTGCCAGAGAAGAAGTCAGAAAATCTTTTCACGGTGTTCAACAACATTTGCAGTATAGTAAAGTGCGACATCAAAACTGAACAGATAAATCGAATAACAAGAATTGCCAAACTCAATCCGAATAATGATCGTCCTCGTTCGGTGATAGTTGAATTTAATAACACTAGAGTACGAGATAGCTTCTTAGCAGCCACAATCAAATTTAATAAAGCTAACCCGGATAACAAGTTGAACTCTAGTCACCTTGGTTTTAATGGTCCTAAGACTCCGGTATACGTAACAGAGCACTTGTCAGCTGCAAATAAGGAATTGCATTCGGCGGCGAGGAAGACTGCAAAGGAAAAAGGGTTTAAATTTGTTTGGGTGAGAGGTGGACGTATATTTCTAAGAAAAAGTGAAAATTCAGGCTTTATTCAAATTAAAAATTTTGATTCATTATCAAAACTAGAGTAATTCGCTAATTGTTTCTATTAGTTAATATAAAGTTAAAATACAATGTCACCTGCTAATATTAATTCGCTTGTAATTTATTACCAGAATGTTAGAGGTCTTAGGTCCAAAACACAAACATTTAATCGTAAGTTAGCAACTAGTGACTATGATGTAATAGTCTTAACAGAGACGTGGTTAAACAGCAGCGTATTGAGCTCCGAACTATTTGATAACCGTTACACAGTATTCAGAAGGGATAGAGAAACGTCAGGATTTCATGGTGGCAAGGATGGAGGTGGGGTTCTGGTTGCGGTCAAAAAAAGCTTATCTTCTGACTGTATAAATGAATGGAATAGTGCATGTGAAGATCTTTGGATTGTGATAAATCTGCCTTTTTCAGTAGTTAAAAAGATCGCACTTTGCGCCGTTTACCTCCCACCACCAATTCAACGTAGCATGTTAGAACATTTTGTTAATAACTGTAATGCGGTTCTTGAGAATTTTGACGGACATCTGTGTATTTTCGGCGACTTTAATATGAGTAATATAGATTGGACGCAGGTTAATCACAATTCAAGCTACTGCACCACCAGTCTTTGTCAAACATTAATAGATTTTACTTTTGTTAATAATCTAAAACAAATTAACTGTATAATTAACGCTAGAGATAAAATATTGGATCTAGTTCTTACAGATATTGATAACTGTACTGTGTCTTCTGCTTATGATGTTTTATCCAACATCGATCCACAACATCCACCTATATGCACTTATATCGCATCTGATGAAACAGAAAAACTAACGCCTAATATGAGTGTTCTTAAGTATAATTTTTATAAGGCTGATTATGAGGCAATAAATAAGTATCTTTTTAGTTTGGATTGGGACTCAATCTTCTCCCTATGCAATGACGTGAATAGGATGTTAGAAATATTCTATGATACTATAAATGAAGTCATTAAAAAATTTGTTCCAATTAAAAATGTTAATTGCCTTAAACGTCACCCCCCATGGTTTAATAAAGTGCTGATTGCAAGATTAAAGGAAAAAAATAAACTTCGGCTTAAGTATAAAAAATATAGTAACCCTTTAGACGAAATTGAACTACAAATTTTAAGTCAAAGATGCGATAAGTTAGCTAAAGAGTGTTATAATAATTATATTGTTAACATAGAGAAAACGATTAGGCAAAATTCAAAATACTTTTGGTCATTTATCAAAAGCAAACGTGGAGGGTCTAGTGCCTATCCCAGGTCTGTCACAGATGGTATCACTATAGCAAACAATGGCCAAAGCATTTGTGAATTGTTTGCTGCAACTTATTCAAGGGTCTATGGTGATAATCCAAAAGAAGGACCCCATTCTGAAGTTGAAAGTCTTAGAATCATTGATAATGGGAGTTCATGTTTTTCCAGTCTTACCGTTGATCTCAATGTTATTGTTAATAAACTCAAAACTTTAGATATTACCAAAGGTACTGGTGCCGATGGATTAGCGCCAATATTTCTTAAAAATTGTACTGATAGTTTAGCTTTTCCTTTGTGTAAAATTATAAATGAGTCATTTATTACTGGAGTGTTTCCAGATCTGTGGAAGCTTGCAAAGGTAGTACCAGTCTTTAAATCAGGTGATATTGGTATTGTTTCGAATTATCGGCCAATCTCGATACTTTCTACATTAGCCAAGCTTCTTGAATCAATCGTTTGTCCTCATATTCAAACCTATTTCCGACAATTTATGACTGACTCTCAGCACGGTTTCGTGAAAAATAGATCAACTTTAACTAATCTTGTAACTTTTGTCGAAGATCTTGTAGATGCCATTGACAATAGAAATCAAGTTGATGTTATCTATACCGATTTTAGCAAGGCATTCGACAAAGTTTCACATTCAATTTTGCTAAGAAAATTAAGCTCCTATGGATTCACAGGAAAGATTTGGGATTGGTTTAAGTCCTATTTAAGTAACCGTTCCTTCTACGTAGTCTTGGATGGGTTTAACTCTGATACTTACGATATAACATCTGGTGTGCCGCAAGGATCACATCTTGGGCCCATACTTTTTAACATCTTTATTAACGATATAACTGATAGTTTTATTTACTCTAAACCTTATCTTTATGCAGACGATTTAAAGATTTCTCGTAAAATTGTTGATGATTCCGATGTAGTACTATTGCAATCTGATTTAAATAGGCTGTCACACTGGTGTAAAAATAACTCAATGAACCTAAATGTAAATAAATGTTTTCATATTAAATTTTGTCGAAACCGTAACTTTATAAGCTCGCATTATATAATAGATGATTCTACTTTAAGTGAAGTAGATACTGTTTTAGACTTAGGGGTAGTGTTTGACCGCAAATTGACATTTATTCCACATTATGATCATATTGTCAAGAAAGCATCGAAAATGTTAGGATTTATTATTAGAAACGGTAAAATTTTTCGCAGTTATCAAACAAAAAAAATATTATATAATGCCTTTATTCGTAGCACTCTTGAGTATTGTAGCGTAGTATGGAGACCGCACTATGCTACCCATTATCTGCGGCTAGAAAGGATACAGAAGAGATTTCTTTGGCACCTGGCGTTCTCTTCTGGAATGGGACGAAGGGGCTTCTCTTACTCTTACTCCCACAGGCTAAAACATTTTAACATGGACTCTCTTGAAAAACGCAGAGCTATTATCGACCTAACTTTTATTTTCAAAATTTTAAGAAGTCAAATAGACTGTCCCCAACTTCTAAGTTACATTAAATTTAGGGTGCCCAGGACACTTCCGCGAGCTCCCATTCTTCCACTTGCCCCACCATTTCGTAGGACTGTGCTTGGTAACAACTCTCCTGTAGCTACGTAAAGTAAACTTTATAATGGGATCAGTAGCCGGACAGATATAAATTTTGTTTCCTCGTACAAGTTTCGCAAGTACTTGTTAGACACAATTTCAAATTAAGTTATTTTTATTCTGTATGTTTACTACACATAATATCTAAATCACTGGTTGTTTTGTTGTTCTGTTTTAAAATGTTTTAATTAATTTTTTTTTTCTTAACATAATATGTAAATTAACACTTTAATTATGGTTTAGCGGTGTTTACCTGTAAGTAATTGTGCAATTAGTATAAGACTTTATCATACATTTAGATTTAGTATGTTAAATTGTAACAATTGTAGGTAGACCTTTTTTTTTAAATAAATAAATAAATAAATTTTGGACATGTTGATCTTGTTTTGTGTTTTTGAGGATTATAAGTAAAATATGTATACAGGGGTTATTTTGTTTAATTAAAGGCACTATAAAATCATCATCGTCTGGTACGATAATAATGTTCTCCAATCCGAAACGTAAGAAAAAAGAGTTGCCGGGAGAAGAAGTCTTTGAAGAAACGACTGAGGAGGAAGAAGCTGGCACTAGTACTATGGAAGTATCTGAGAAAGAGCAGCGCAAGTATAAGTATTAGTAATTAATAAAAACGATTTCGAGTGAGTCATCAGTAAAGATAATAACGGTGGCAAATAGGGAGCCATTGTCCGTAGAGTGTGTTGGAGATATAACTTATTAATATTTCACTGCATGATAAAATACAAGTAAGAAACGTCCTTGAATAAAACTAAATTTTTTACGGATTATATCGCGTTTTTTAACTGATTTTACTTATTTTTAATTCCCGACGTTTCGGGTGCTTTACAGCAACCATGGTCATGGGGGGGGGGATTGAAATGTTTGACGTCCCAATGTCATTGTTAGCCCGGCTACCTTCAGTTTTTGAATATTAATTTTTGGTCCGATTTACGCAAAACGAACTTACAGTATCTTGAAGTCTTGCAGTGGTATGCTTGGGTTTGGGTTTAATTTTGTTAATTATAGGATCCCAAGCAGATGGCAGCACCCAACCATCTTCTCTATTGAAATTAGATGTTTTTTAATTTCAATAGCCTCGCGTATCGTCCTTGGTAGGAATCGGTGTTCTTTTGCGAGGATTTGTGGTTTATCAAATCTGTGTGCCTAGTGCGAGTTTTTTTACGCGTTCGATAGTGATAAAGTTAACTACGATTTGTATTGAATAAAAAAAGCCCCAACTAGTGACAATAATTTAAAACACAATTCCTGAGTGCGAGTTTACTACGTGGTCAATATCGATCATCGAACATTGACTAACATGCGAGCGACAATTTTGATCGTTCGAGACGTAACTTATGTAAACTTTACGGCGTCGCTATCGAAAAAGTTTTCACTTGGATTTTTACAGCGAGATGGAAGAGTGAGAATAATTGTTTAAGAGTTAATTTTATATCGTTTTAAGTGAACGATGTATAATTATGGCAGGACGTTTCTTTTCGCTTGGAAGATGTTTGCAGTCGCTAAGGCATGTAATAAATAGATGACTACTATTTTTTGATTATATAGACAATCCCATCATAATCAAAGCTGCTATTATAACGCCAGTGTTGAAGCAAGAGCTTGTGCATATTTTCGTCCGTTGTTACATACCGACGACAGGCAATTTAAGGATAGATATAGCATTTTCCGCTAAAATATTCAAGTTTTGTATAAATAGCGTTTGATAAATCTAAGGTCTACTATCTCTATTCAATAGTTAAATCAATTTCTTCTAAATTTTTTTATACAGACCATTTGATCGCTTGCATTAGACGATGCTTTGCCTAGGCCTCCATGCCGAAAATCCAATAAATTCTATTCCGCGTAACCTAGTTACAAAACACACGTATCAAACTTCAATTTACATCTAAATAACTTAAATTCCATTTACTGCTCCAAAAATTTCACCATAAAAGCATATTAAAACGAACACATCTTTATGTTTTTTGCTTATAATTTAAACTTTATATTATTAACAATTACGGACAAGTTACTCGTCCATGTTGACAATTAAATAATATATTAAATATATTATTATAATATATAAAAATTCATAATCTCATTAAACTAACACAAACTGTCGAGTGTCGAAACCTTGATCAAATTACGAAACATAAACAAAAAGGGTAATAAAGATATAATAACCACAAATTTGATAGACAGATGCTAACATTAAGACCACTAAATAAAAATGTCATTCTGAATTTGGTTAGTTTATCTCACGGAACTGACATGCTACCAATGTAAGATAAGGAATAAACGCCATTCACAGTGAGCAAACGCGAATCGAAAGATTAGCTTCGATTGTCACTCGCACTCCCTCGTCTTCGCTTGTTGATACCGACGACGTTAACTCGGTTAGCGCGATGGTGAAGTCATTCGATTAATTTTGTGGAACTCGCACTAGGCACACTGATGTAATGTTGGGGACGATCTTGAACATGTTCACAGACTGCAGACTTCCCGGAGCGTCGGTGCTTCATGTCAGCTATATGTTCTTTCACGCGGGTTTTTATGGATCTTTTTGTTTGACCTATGTAAGAGAGACCACATTCACAATCTAACTTGTACACTCCTGCATCTTGTAGAGGGATATTACACTTGACGGATGGTAAAAATTGACTAATCTTCTTCGGCGGCTTGTAGTATGTTTTAATGGAAGCTCGCTTCAAGATGTAGCCAACCTTGTCTGTGACTCCTCTGACATATGGTAGTACAGCAGGCACACGCTCGACTGTGGCCGGCTTCACTCGGTCACTGTGACGTAGGCGCGGGATCCGATGCTTGTTGTCTTGCAACACTTGCTTGAAATGCTGCAGCTCAGCGGCCAGATGTTTTCTGTCACAGATCCCTCGTGCTCTCTGAAACAAAGGTTTACCCACGGTAGCTAACTGTGAAGGATGATGGTGAGATTCACCATTTAAATATCGGTTGGTATGGGTTTTTTTTCTATACACAGTGTGACCAATAGTGTTATCAGGATTTCGAATGACTAAACATCTAGGAAAGCTAAAGAATTATTTGCGTCTAACTCCATTGTGAATTGTATTTTAGAGTTTATAGAGTTAAGGTGATTTAAAAATGCAGTTACTTTGTCAGATGGTAAAATTGTGAAGGTATCATCTACGTACCATTTGTAGAATCTTGGATTTACAGGAGCAGTAAGAAGGGCTTTCTCCTCGAAGTCACAGATAAGGTTGGCTACATCTTAAAGCGAGCTTCCATTAAAACATACTACAAGCCGCCGAAGAAGATTAGTCAATTTTTACCATCCGTCAAGTGTAATATCCCTCTACAAGATGCAGGAGTGTACAAGTTAGATTGTGAATGTGGTCTCTCCTACATAGGTCAAACAAAAAGATCCATAAAAACCCGCGTGAAAGAACATATAGCTGACGTGAAGCACCGACGCTCCGGGAAGTCTGCAGTCTGTGAACATATTCAAGATCGTCCCCACCATTACATCAGATTTGATAAACCACAAATCCTCGCAAAAGAACACCGATTCCTACCAAGGATGATACGTAAGGCTATTGAAATTAAAAAACATCCTAATTTCAATAGAGAAGATGCACATCTGCTTGGGATCCTATAATTAACAAAATTAAACCCAAACCCAAGCATACCACTGCAAGACTTCAAGATACTGTAAGTTCGTTTTGCGTAAATCGGACCAAAAATTAATATTCAAAAACTGAAGGTAGCCGGACTAACAATGACATTGGGACGTCAAACATCTCAGTCCCCCCCGTGACCATGGTTGCTGTAAAGCACCCCAAACCTCGGGAATTAAAAATAAGTAAAATCAGTTAAATAAACGCGATATAATCCGTAAAAAATTTAGTTTTATTCAATGTGTAGTGTTCGCGTAAATTTAAGAAATCATTATAAGAAACGTCCTATATGTACCGGGACTTGCAGTCAATTTATTGTCAGTCAGTTTACAAACATATGAGTATAAAGATGTATTTATAAGGCTACAGAGATAATACAAATTTTCTTATAGACTAACAAACATTATATTTAAAAGTTTAACTATGTTTACAAGATCTTTATGAATAATTACCGTGTGGTGAAAAGGATCAACTGCAAGTTGAGAATCTCCAACAGCAAACTCTTGACCACCCATAACTGCCATCAATCTCTTATCCAAGTCTGATAACATGGGCAGGTCATCAGCAGAACCACCACCAGTGCGTCTCATGGAATTGCTGTGCTGAGCACACAATTTTTTCAAGGCACATTTCTTCTCTGCCCAATACTAAAAACGATGGATAATTTATTTAAATATACCTAACAGGTAAAAAAACAGCATTTATATTTTATATAAACTTAAGACTTACTTTAGCCCAACCTTGCCCATCTTTGTTTGCTCCTCCCAATGAATTTAAAGTTATAGCTACAGATGCCCATTGCCTCTTTATTTCCATTTTTGCTTGATTTGTCCGTAGCAGACCTTTCGCAATTCCGACGTTTTGTTCTAAAAATTCAACTAAGGTTTCAATTTGTGCTAGAGTTGAACGATTAGTCTGTTATAATGTTAAATTGATGATGAACAATTTCGAAATAATCAGTACCAAACTGCACCAGTCTTTAAGTACTTCAACATATATAAAAATAAAACTTATTTTAAAATCACAGAACCCTATTTTAAGAATGAGAGGAATAAGTTATGGATTACATATTTTCAAGTACCTATAGTAAAAAAGGGAAAGGAAAGCACTTTACAGCCTAAAGAAACATTAAAAGTTAATAAATCAAGCTGTTTTTACAAGAACCGTGTGAACTGATGTTAAGTTTGTCGAAAAAACACTTCATTATGTATTTTTGTTATTTAAATGCTCATTTGTGAAAGTTACGATGGATTTCAACAACTAGCAGCAACTTCACCGGTTATACGAAAAATAAAACACTGAAATTGCTTTTTTTCGGAATATAAATTATAAAACATTTACTTATAAAATTCTTAAAAAACATTGTTATACTTACTTCCTATCCTTGACCATTATTATTTATTTTGTTCCTCCTAATTAGCTAACAGTGCCCATTTCATCTGTTTCATATGATGCTTAATTGTGTTAATGCGGTAATGAACTATTTCAAACTGTTTATAGTTATACCCAAATTGAAAGGTCTATTAGTAATTCACTGTACACATACTTAAAAAAGCACTTCACCTTTAAACTTAAAAAGAGTTCTTCGAAAGTTGATATTTGTTTACTTTGTTTCATGATCGTCGTGATAACAATTTTTTTCTGACAATAAAAAATGAGGCAAAGACACGCTCCTATACAGCCTTATAATTAATTAAAACTCGCAAATATAGCGTTTTTTAAAAAGAATTGTATGAAAAGATGTTATGTTTGACGAATTACACCATTTATTAAGTATTTTTACTACTTAAACGCTCGTTTATGAAAGTTACAAAGGATTTATTATGACTTTACCGGTTTAACGATAAATAAAACATGCCTGTTGCTTAGAGTAACGCAGCTAACTTCATGTGGTACAACAAAACTTTTGGCCAATCCGAGCGAAATTCCGATTTCAATCCAATGTTGTCAAAATTGTTTTCAAGAGTACGCTAATTTGTCAACATTGGATTGACATTGGATTGAAATTGATATTGGATCGAAATTGTTATTTGATTCAAGAGTAAGCAGCCAGGGCTCCAAAGTCTATGCCAGAGATCTGTCTGCCCGAAAGAGCCAACTGTCGAAGCTGAAGACTGAGTGTGGCAGCATCGTTTCCGGGACACCTGAGATTCTGAGTGAGATTGAGAGGTTCTATGTGCAGCTGTACACATCATCGTTGGGGCCACACGCAAGTGTGAGTAACGATCCAAGAGCGGGTCTTATCCGACACTATTCTGATGATATCCCGGACGTCAGTCTGAGCGAGATTAGAATGGCTCTCCAGCACCTTAAAAACGAAATCGGAATTTCGCTCGCATTGGCCAAAAGTTTTGTTGTACCACATGAAGTTAGCTGCGTTACTCTAAGCAACAGGCATGTTTTATTTATCGTTAAACGGGTAAAGTCATAATAAATCCATTGTAACTTTCATAAACGAGCGTTTACGTAGTAAAAATACTTAATAAATGGTGTAATTCGTCAAACATAACATCTTTTCATACAATTCTTTTTAAAAAACGCTATATTTGCGAGTTTTAATTAATTATAAGGCTGTATAGGAGCGTGTCTTTGCCTCATTTTTTTATTGTCAGAAAAAAATTGTTATCACGACGATCATGAAACAAAGTAAACAAATATCAACTTTCGAAGAACTCTTTTTAAGTTTAAAGGTGAAGTGCTTTTTAAGTATGTGTACAGTGAATTACTAATAGACCTTTCAATTTGGGTATAACTATAAACAGTTTGAAATAGTTCATTACCGCATTAACACAATTAAGCATCATATGAAACAGATGAAATGGGCACTGTTAGCTAATTAGGAGGAACAAAATAAATAATAATGGTCAAGGATAGGAAGTAAGTATAACAATGTTTTTTAATAATTTTATAAGTAGATGTTTTTTAATTTAGATTCCGAAAAAAAGCAAAATCCGGTGAAGTTGCTGCTAGTTGTTGAAATCCATCGTAACTTTCACAAATGAGCATTTAAATAACAAAAATACATAATGAAGTGTTTTTCGACAAACTTAACATCAGTTCACACGGTTCTTGTAAAAACAGCTTGATTTATTAACTTTTAATGTTTCTTTAGGCTGTAAAGTGCTTTCCTTTCCCTTTTTTACTATAGGTACTTGAAAATATGTAATCCATAACTCATTCCTCTCATTCTTAAAATAGGGTTCTGTGATTTTAAAATAAGTTTTATTTTTATATATGTTGAAGTACTTAAAGACTGGTGCAGTTTGGTACTGATTATTTCGAAATTGTTCATCATCAATTTAACATTATAACAGACTAATCGTTCAACTCTAGCACAAATTGAAACCTTAGTTGAATTTTTAGAACAAAACGTCGGAATTGCGAAAGGTCTGCTACGGACAAATCAAGCAAAAATGGAAATAAAGAGGCAATGGGCATCTGTAGCTATAACTTTAAATTCATTGGGAGGAGCAAACAAAGATGGGCAAGGTTGGGCTAAAGTAAGTCTTAAGTTTATATAAAATATAAATGCTGTTTTTTTACCTGTTAGGTATATTTAAATAAATTATCCATCGTTTTTAGTATTGGGCAGAGAAGAAATGTGCCTTGAAAAAATTGTGTGCTCAGCACAGCAATTCCATGAGACGCACTGGTGGTGGTTCTGCTGATGACCTGCCCATGTTATCAGACTTGGATAAAAGATTGGTGGCAGTTATTATGGGTGGTCAAGAGTTTGCTGTTGGAGATTCTCAACTTGCAGTTGATCCTTTTTACCACACGGTAATTATTCATAAAGATCTTGTAAACATAGTTAAACTTTTAAATATAATGTTTGTTAGTCTATAAGAAAATTTGTATTATCTCTGTAGTCTTATAAATACATCTTTATACTCATATGTTTGTAAATTTTAGGAACATCAAATGACACAATCAGTCCCTGCGGCTTCACCAGCAGAAAATGTAAATTTAGGTTTAGAAAATCAAGCAGCGGTGATAGGAAGTTGTACTTCCCCTATTCCTGGCACCTCCCAGGATACACTACAATCACCTCCGCGTAAAAGTAAGTAATTTTTTTATAGAAGAGTAGAAAATAAGCATGTGGCTCACCTGATAGTGGTGACCGCCACCCACGAACAACTGCAATACCAGAGTTACAGGTGCTTTGCCGGCCTTTAATTTTCTAACATTAACCAAAACTAGAATGTGACTAACATTAACCAAAATTTAGCACCATTTTTAATTTATGAAATTTAAGAATATTATGACCTTGCTTTATGGTTGGGGGCCTAGGACCAGCAGTGCACTTGTAAAGGGCTGCAATCATGGTGATGATGATTTAATATATTATAGTCCCTTTAGCTTCATGTGGTAACAGACTTGCAATTTGTAGACATTATACTTATAAGTTATAAGTGACTTAAAAAGGTTCACCCACTGATTTTTTGTCAACCTTTCATTACTTAAATAAATAAGTAACATGTTAAGCATGTCATTTTCTTAAGTGGGTAAAAGTGTTTCAATAAGTTTTAAAGATATTTGTAAACTCTTGTGATGCTTAAAACTTTCAATCTAAAATATTCGATCTCAATATTAAATGCCCATATTTTATGGTCATGGACTGGATGCATTTATATCAGAAACATCACTTTTAAAATATTAAATATTATTAAAAATAATATTAAATATTTTAATTTCAGAATCAAAACTTAAATCCATGCCACATGTCAGGCAATGTCGTTCTGTCACAAGAAATAATAAAGACATGGAACGGCTGGTACAAATTGAGGAGCAGCGTGTCAGGGCAGAAAATATAACCGCACAAGCTTTTGCAGATGTTTCTGCTGCATTAGATCGTAATGCTGTTGCTGTTGCAAATATAGGCAGAGCTTTGGAGGGTTTATCTGCTGTCATTAACAATGCTATTATAGAATTTGCAAAAAAATGCAATGACAACAAATAGCATTTCTAGGAAACTTAAAATAAAAAGAATTTAAATTTTATTGCTGTTTTCATGTTTAATTTTTTTTTGTTTTTATTTAATTTCCATTGCAGTAACAACTTATTTGTTAAACTAAAAAGTGCAATTTTGTTAATTTTGATTTTAAATTTTAAACCTATATTATAAATTAAAATCAACATATTTTTGATAATTTCATGTAAGATATGGCTATGGCTATTTTTTAACAATGAATCTTACTTATATAACTCCTAGGTCTAGTTTATATAGGTTATAAAGGTCAGTAAATTTTGTTTTATAATATTTTAAAAAAGTTGTGTAATTATTTTCTCTTGAAATATTTGTGTTTATTAAATAAAATATTTGGTTCAACATTTTTGCAGTTTTATTTCGAAATCACAAAATTAAGATACAAAATAACTATTACATTAATATTAAGTTATAAAAGTTAAAATTAAGATACAAAATAACTATTTTAATCTTTGTAAATCACATATGTAGTCTCTAATACATATTAATAATAATATATTTAAAACAGGTATTGGGGTTTTCTTTTAAATTACACTAAGGTACATATAAAGCCAGACTATGTTTTTTTTAAATCATATTCATTTAGTTATTATAATATACACAAAAGAAACAATAAGAATAACATTATACTTAATTAAAACATAATACATAATTAATAGTACAAAGTAACTAATATTTTATATATTACATTGTCCTAGCAGCAAAGAGCTGTTGAACTAAGGCAGCTCTTTTTACAATTCCTCGCCTTAGTTCATCAGCCAATGTAATATTTAAAAATTCTTCAGGGATAGCGATATCTACTGAGTCATCTCTTTCAATTGCACTATCCTCTAACACTTCATGCAGGAGATCTTTTTTATTACACATATTGTGTAAAACACAACAAGCGATCATTATTTTTCCTGCTGTGTTAGGGTGATAATGCAACACCCGATGGCCCAGCAAACATCGCCATCTATTTTTTAATACACCTATTGCTCGCTCTACAGTGTTACGAGCTGAGCAATGCAACTTATTGTAATATATTTCAGGAGAGTCCACGTTAGCATTCAGTATGGGAGTCATCATATACTCCCTTTGAGCATACCCTGAGTCACCTAAAAATAAAAATAAACAATGTATGGTGTGGTATGATTTAAACATCACTCATAATGTTCTTCCTCGCTTTTATTATGCTCACCTAATAAATACACATTTTCTCCTGAACTAAGCAACGAAATGATATGGTTTTTAACTGGATGCTGGTTCCATATAAAACTATCATGAGAGGCTCCGCCAAAAGAAGCATCTACTGACAGTATATTTAAATCAGCATCACATATCTGGAAATAAATTAAATAATGAAATATATTTTCATCATAAAATATTATTATAAGATATTTTCAAATGCTTACAATTAAAACATTTCTTGAATGAAAATGTTTTCTGTTGAAAAACCTCTCCTCATTTTCTGTGGGTCTAACAATACTTATATGTGTACCATCAATGCTGTATACCCATATACAGCTGGTATATTAAATTTTTCATAAAATCTGAAATATATTTGTAGTACTATTAACAAAGTTACAAAACAATAAATATTTTAAAATAAGTACATGCAAGTATTTGTACTTTCGTTTTATAGCATCTCTTTCTTGACGTGTTTGCGGAAATCTTATCCATTTTCCAAGGATATTGGGATTGTTTAGAGCATCAGTCACTTCTCTGATGGCACGAGATACAGATTGCTGAGACATCAATGTGCCATATGTTCCACCAACTAATTTTTGGTAACTTCCAGTAGCATAGAAGGACAAAGCTATCAAAATCTGCAAACGGAGTAAATAATATATATAAAATTACAATATAAAAGAACCTATATAATTTTATGTTAAATAGACACCTATAATAGGAATAAGCAAACAGAGTTAAATCACTCACTTTATGTTTAGGTGATATATCACTTCTTCTTTTCGGAGATTGCATATACGGCTTTAATTCGTTCATTATCTCTTCAAAAAAGTCCTTAGTCACACGGTAATTAACCCTAAACTGATCATCACTCATGGAAAAAGCTTTGTCTATATATCGCATCATCCGTCGTTCATTTCGCCTTTGTTTTAATTGTAATGCACGGTTACGTCGTAGAATAATGGTCGGAAGAGCTAAACGTGCCATAATTTTATTGAAAAAAAATAATATACTTGCAGAAAACATATGATTAATTTCACCACAATTTCTAAAACGTTACTGTTTTGCTATTGCCTTAATTCCAATTACAACCCAACGTCAAACACAATACGCTGCTGTCAACTAACTGTCAAAAGTGCGTCGGGAGTACCGATTTTGCTTGGACAATTTCAATTCCTCTTAGTAGTCTGTGATTTCAATTCCAATCCCAATTAGTTCACACAGTCACCACGCAATACTAAACTAATTTAGCGCTAGAGTCGCTTTCAAGAGTACAAAATGTCATAATTCCAATCCTGATCGATCGGAATTGTTTTCAAGAGTAAGCCAGCTGGTTCGGCTCGATCGCTTCTTTAATACGAGCAGTATTAAAGTTGCGTAAGTCTCGCCGCATGCATTTGAAGATCTGTCTGTTCAGTTGCCTGTATGCTGTCAAATCTGTTGACGATTGCAGCCTCATCTCCCGTCTAACAGCCATGAGATTAAGAGTGTGATCGGAGAGCTTTTGTGTTCTTCTGCGGCCGGTCTTGCAAAACTTAGCTCCGACCGCATGGACAGTTTCCACGAGCTTGTCATTCATATCGTCCACTGCATTGCAATCTTCTAGGCACTGAAAGCGGTTACGTAACTCGAGCTGAAAGGTTTCGGGATTCTGGATTAGAGCACGAGGGGGACGGAGCGTTGACTTCATTAGACGAGACCTCTCCAACTTAACGGTTAGGTTCAGTGTGCCTCTAACCATTCGGTGATCGCTGCCAGTTTTCACCCTTGCGATCACTGAGACATCACTGAACAGTTGGCGTCTGGTCGTCATAATGAAGTCAATCTCATTTTTTGTCGAACCGTCGGGGCTCGACCAGGGCCACTTCCTGTGGGGCCGCTTCTGGAAGAAAGAGTTCATCATAAAGAGTCCCTCTTTCTCCATAAAGCCGGCCAGCTTCTGGCCCCTACGGTTCCGTTGCCCTACTCCAAATTTCCCTAACTTCAGCTCACCGCTTTCTCTTGTACCTAGTTTTGCGTTGAAGTCTCCCATCAACATCGTGTAGTGGGTTTTGGAGGAACGCATGGCTCTGGAAATATCCTCATACATTTCCTCCACCTCCTCATCGGGATGTGCCGAGGTTGGTGCGTAAACCTGTATGACCTTCAGCGAATACCGTTTGGTGATTCTGAGTATCAGGTACGCGACCCTCGTCAACACACTCTAAAGATGGCTTTACAACGAGAGACTTGTGGACGATAAATCCGACACCTCCTTGGGACAGATGGTCGCCCTCCCGGTGATAGAACAAGTTGCCGGACTCGAGGATTACCGTGTCCTCCCCCTCTTTCCGCACCTCGGATAACCCAATAATATGCCAGCGCAACTTGTCTACCTCTTCTTCCAACTCCAGTATCTTCTCGTCAGTCCTCAGGGTGAGTGCATAACGCACGCACCCTGAGGACTGAGGGCTGAAAGTTGCCAGGTCGAGTCGTCGTAGGTGGCAACCGAACCTCGACCGGAGATTCTTAGCATCCTCTGCCCCGCCGTTACTATGGTCGCCACCGTAGCCAGGAGGAGCGGGGCCGCCGGGAACTGGGGGCCGTTTGTTTGCGTCGTTACTCATGGGGGGATATTTGCAATAGTTGCCACGCTTGGCGAGCGGGTTGGCAACCGCAGTTTTTTATTATATCACTGCTGTTATCAGGAAGATGCTGCTGCCCATCTCCTGCCTGTCTCCCTCTGTCGCCTCTTACGACACCCACGGGAAGATATGGGGTAGTGGATATTCTCAACCGCCACTACACGGCAATAAAGAGGAAGAATAAAGAGGTATTTAATGAAAATCTGGTACTTTTTTCATCTTTTTACAATAACTTTAAAATTTCCCGAAAAATCGTCGTCTTAATCCTACTTTTTTATGTATGTTTATTTTATCTTATGTTATTCTACATCGTGTTAGCTTTCTAATAGTGAAAAATGCACGTTTATTACTCAAATGCAACCATGTCTATGAGTGTTGGAAATAGCCCTTGCGTTTGCGCATCGTTTAGCTACGCACCCGCCATTGTTTATCATGCAGAGACCTTGACCCTTTACATACCAGAAATATCTTTGCAAAATCCGAATAGCTAATAGTAATTTACCTTCCTTGTCGTTTCTTCAGGAGATTTCATCACCCTGTTTCCACCTGTGTATCAGAAAGGCCAAGTAACACTTTTTTTTTATAGAACAAAGGCGACAAACGATCACACTGTCCCCGTGATAGTAAGTAATTAGTTCTGAAGCATATACTGTGAAAAACTCTTACCAGTGATGAAACAGCTAGATTAGTTTACTTTAGCTATTTCCATAGCATAATGTCGTGCGATATTTCGCTTTGGGGACATTGATAATATATTCGTTTTACAAAAGAGGGCCATTAGAGGAATGATGATGAAAGATGTCTTTCATTGTAGAGGCGGGCGGGTTGTACGTGCGAGTGCGGGGAGACGTGTCCAGTCGAAGGACAAATTAATGAATTTTAGTCGCTCCGAACTCTTCGCCGCTGCTATTCGTGTTTCTCCTGTCAAAGTCGTTATCGCGCCACGCATTCGCTTCTTTGGTCGCGATGCTGCACATAACTGATTTCTCTCCGGCACACATCGCCGATATCCATTATTACTATGGAATGTACCGGGGGAGTGCTAGATCTGCTCGTACAGCTTATCTAGCTGCGTTTCCAAATCGACGCCCTGTGCCATCCGCCCGAAACTTCCAGGAAGTCCATAGAAGACTGGCTAACACTGGACTTGGTTTTGCTCGAGATCGCCGCGAACCAGGT